CCTGCTGCTTGTTGGAAGACCGGGGATCCCATTTTTGGGGTTTTTAGTTGCATAATGAAAGTTGTTCGATTTCAAATTTCTGTATGCTCGGGAAGACTGATAATTCCTGAGCAGGCTTCATACAGATTTGTGGGTCTTCCAGAGCCAGGTTATTCAGAAGTGAGTGACACCCCCATTTCAAAAGATTACCTTGGTCAAAGTTCGAATGCCGCCAGAGATCTTGCAGGTATCAATGGAGACCCCATGGAGATTGATTGATTGACTGATTGACTGACTGCTTCACGGAACCTTTGTTGCTTTCGACAATTTTAAGATTTCGAGTAGAACTACTGAAGCCGCAGCTGATGTTTGAAGTTTAAGTTGTTGCTCATCAGGAGTTTGGGTCGCAATCATACAGACCTGAATCCTTTCCAGGACTGTGTTAAATCTTACTTGAATCCATATAATCTCTGGTCAAGTCAAGTTTTATGTGCAACGTGAGCAACGCAGGGCTTAGAGAGCTAGGAAGAGATGCCGAATTTTCGTTCCACTTCTTCAACATTCAGGTTGTCAGGCATTCCTATCCTGGCAAGCATGCAGACTGAGATGGGGCTTTTGCACTACCCGGCCCCGGGTTGCCTTCCACGTAAAAGGTTGCCATCACAGGAAGGAAAGCTTTCCCGCTCACTCGTGAATATTCCAGCACTTTCCGTTGAGGAGTGCTGGAATTGCCTCGTTACAGTGAAGAGCTGTGGTAGCTGGGAGAACATCCTATCAAGCATTGAATGGACACTGGACATTTGATGAAGAACTTCCTTGTTGTGCATTTGCTTTTCGAATTCAGAAGGGTGCCGGTGTTGCCAATTCACTTTGCAGCGGCTTTTGCATGCCTCATGAATAAGAGCTTGCTAAGCTCTAGCAGGTCTCATATGGCAGGTGAAACGCACGACTTTTGATACTTATGGGCAGTCAGCACGTCGGAGATAAGATTTTCTGATGAAGACTTCGAGGAGCTGTGGCTTCTTCTGAAGTCAGGGCGTCCCTGCACGTTGTGTTGAAATTGGAGGTCTTTAATGTTTCATCCTTCAACTTTTCGCCTGGCCATTGCATTTCTTGTGGAAAAGTATACAGTCTAGATGACTGCTCGTTCGCCTTATGAAGCATGCAATGATCCTCTAAACATGATTATAAGAGCATGTAAGAGCTCTGGCAAGCACCTCTTGAGATAGGAGGCTCCAACGTCGGTAACGAAGGTACATAAACTTTCATTGTCGTGAGCTTGGAGCCATCGAGCGCAGAAAAACAGTTGAGTACATCTGCGCCGCAATGTCCAACCTCATCAGACATGTCGAGGGCTGCGAAGCTGCGCTTGGACATCCTAAACCAAGGATGACGTGGAGCCACAACAACTGTCCAACAGGCCTTGCACGATATACTTGCATTGCTAGACAACTGTTTCAACAAAATTTGACTTTTCGCAACTCCTACCCTTGTCACATTTGTAAAAAAAATTGCCGCCCATGAGTTTGCCGCTTCCATTCGGACACTGGCTCTCGAACGACCCCTATGTGTTGTCAGCTATTGTCACCGTGGTCGTTGGTGTACTGAAAGAATGAGGTGCGGTGTTGTTAGATCGATCCCGGGTGCGCATCTCGAGGTGTTCCTCTCTGGACATCCAACTTGACCGGATGTCCAATATGCTAGGACTGCTAGGAAAGGTATTGTACGGCGCATGGTGTTCAAGCGGATTGGCCACGAATTCATGCAACATGGAATGCAAGGTAGATTTAAGATCACCGGCCAACTCATACAAAACAGCAGCTTCTCTGAAACTTGTGAGACCGTCCAAAATGGGAACGACCCCAAAAAAATGCAGGTAGTTCAAGCGAAGAACAACCGGCATACAATTCCTGGATATTCTTACGTTGAGCGTCAAATCAGCGCCTAAAACAATGTGGTGGAGCTTTGCGAGGCCTTCTTCCAAGTCTCTTCTTAACAAAGGAACATTAGCAGCCAACATTTTCTCCAGACCCAGCCGCTCAACTCACCTGACCGCCCTGACCCTGGGACAAACCTCAATTTGCTGAGCTTTCGCAATGAAGTCGTTGTTTCGAACATTTGCGCATCAGTTTTAATTGACAAGCAGTAGCCGTGGGCGATTGTCTGCACTGCCACGGCTGCACGATGAACGTGCGAGCCGCAGATGATGACGGTCTCGCTCTACTCTTCTTGATGTTGTGGCTCAATGCGAAACAGATAATGCCATGGCAGGTGGCTTTGTCTTTCTGCCTGTAGGTGTTGCCAGTGTTGCTGAACTGCATCAGTGGGGACGCCAGGAGAGCCATGCTCCAGAGAAGTTTCAGGTTGGTCTCTCACTCAACTCCTTCCCCGCTGATGGCTCATGGCAAGTTGCGCTTGAATATCCTATACACCTGCATGGAAAATGACATGGCCGCGCCTGCTCAGTCAAGCAAATGCTGCCAGGACGACCGTTCTCAGCAACATTTCGCGCCAAGGTCATTCCAAGCCTGGGGTGTAGCAAGCGCAGCGACTTCACAAAAGCTGTGAGAACACGAGACCGCGGCCAGCCAGTCCCGGACCCAAGTTCAAGGATGTGCGGTGCCTTGAAAAAGGCGTGCTGAGGTCAGGATATGTCGGGACGACTGGTTGGGATGTGTCAGATTGACACACACCTCATGAGAATACTACATTCAGAAACCACTGTGAGGGGAGGACTAATTTTGGAGGTGGTTCCCCCCATCAAGTGTTGGGGGGGCTCTGGTGCACGTTAACAATGCAATCGTTTCTGGCATGCATGCGCGCGACCCCTACTGCCAAATGACGTGACTACCCATCTTTATCATCACCCTCGTCCAGCATGCTGTTCCAGTACAGCCAGGAGACATCAGCCCTTGACATTGTCCCGTCGAAGATTGAGGACCACCTTTGCTGCTCCAACTCAAGATGTGGTTTCTTCTCCAGACGGTCGGTCTCCGGGTGCCGACCGGTAAGGTCATTCAGAAAGACACATTCTTCCCCTAATCCGCCAGCTGCAGGTGAGCTCTTTCCTCTCCATTCACACCAACACACTGAACGCTGAAGCACACTCAAGGAGGTTAGGACTTTGAAGCCCAAACGGAAACAAAGAGCAAGAACACTGAATGAACTAAACTAAGCCTCACGCTCGCTCTCTAGAAAGTCACAGAGACAGAACCTTGTGCAGTAGAGGCAGCGTAACAAGCAGCCGCCCAGCTGTCTCTTTGAGCTGCTTCTCAGCTGAAAGTCCGAAAGTCTGTGTGCCCTGCGCTGCATCCCAAGTGCCTGGCAGAAGGAAGAATTTCTGCACTGGACTTGAGTTAAGTGCTGTTTTGTCCCAAGATAACCTGGCCTGGCCCTACAAGGTGCAGCTACCAGTTCGGAAGGTTGGGGCTTAGGCTTAGGCAAATCACTTCTGGGAAAGAATCAGCTTTTGCTTGTCCCTGCTTGTCTCTTTTGGAAAATATTCTCAAGCAAAATCACGCCAAGCTCGCTTCCCCCGGTTGTGGGCATGGCGCGATGACCGCAAATGACATCCCGAACCCATGGTCCTTGCAAAGCCAACTTGCAACTAGCAATTCTCAAGCCTCTCCTGGACAGCAGCCTTGAGTCTCATAGACTACTTTCGATTTCAGCTGAGGCCTGCACCAGGTTTTGCGCTCATGGCTTCTTGCCGTCACTATCATGCGCTGTCATTTCATTGTCACTAGAAGTTGCAAAATGCTATGCGCAGTTGCACTTATTGCATGTTTGATAACTTAACTTTACAAGCACTGATCAATTGGTCTGGCCAGCACATGCTGCTGCACTACCTTCTTCATCCAGCCGGGCATGCGAGCGCGATACAGTAAGACCTGCTGCCACAAGGAACACTTGCCAGCATTCTTGCAGCTTGCACTTTTTTTTTGGAACTGCAGCGAGGTCATCACATTATAAGCTCCGCATGCAAGGAACAGACGTTGAATTTTGTCGCCAAGTTCGCAAAAAGCCATGGATTTGCTCGCGACTCTGCTTGCATTCGCTCCTACTCCCATGCCAATAGCACAAACTAGTGCACATGGAAATGCACTGCTTTTCTAGCATGGTGCTGTGTTGTTAACAGCAAAGTCTGGTCTAGAGGATCCTGAAGTGTTGTGCAAGAAGCTTCCTCCTGCACCCTCCAATAGTAGAGCTGCTTGGGACAAGGATAATTCGGAAAGTTGAACTTGCTCATTGCTGTGGCAGCATTGAAATGTTGGCTGTCAAGTGTTTCCATAAACGTCAGACCCTCAGCGTACATGACAGGCTAGGACAAACGGGTTCAACTCCGGAACTTCTTTCAGCTGGCACACGTTTACCCTGAAGAGTCTTGCCAAATGCCATTGGGATGCACCCGCTGAAAAGTCCGTACTCAGGCTGGACAAAATAATGCAGGTGCCTTGGATTTCAAATCCATGCAAATGTCAAACCGTCTGGAATTGTCTCTGCACCCAGTGCTGCTTTTTGCGAACTGGTGGTGCATGTGCAGGTGTGCACAGTCATGACGTTAGCTTACTCTCTGCAGCGTGACTCAGAGTCTTCGCTGAAACTACCTGAAGGCACGTAGCACAGCTTACGTGAACTACCTGGGCTTGCATGTCATGAGTTGCAATGCGATGCGTGAGCAGTCCCTTTAGAAATTTTCTACGACGGTTGACGTCTCGCAGACCATTGGGGCCCCTCTGCCTGGCCGAGCTAGACGCTTGCTGCACGGTTCTCCATGCAGCAAAAGAAAACAAGCCACGCATGCCTGGCAGCAGGAGGCTGAGGTGGCACTGATCAAAGGGTATCACCAAGTTTCGAACACTCTAGATCATTCCAGATCCATCTAAGTTACCTGGATCTTTTCCCGCAAAGCAGTGAAACTGGAACTAGGTGATGCTTAGCATCACTTGGAGCCATGCCAACTTGTCTCAGTTTGCGGACAATCAGGCAGCAATGCGTGAGATGGAAAGTGTATAGACAAACTAGTGCCAGTTGGTCGTCCAGCGCTTCTTACGATCCTCAATCTCTTTGGCTGTTGGCTTACTTTTCACCGTCTGCACGCTCTGTGGTGAGGACACGCTTGAGAGGCTCGGCAAACTCAAGCAGGACTGAATCCCAGGCGTACTGGCTGACGGAGTGTCGGCTGCCAGTTGCTTCTTCAGACCCTCGTCCTCCTGCACAGGGGCTGGTGGCTGGCGTAGCCGTTCAAGCAGATGGCGCAAGTGCGCCATGGCCAGTTCGCGATCCCTGATCGTTCCTTTGAGGTGTTGTAGGGTGTTCTGATGAACTCCTTCAGAGTGGGAGAGAATGCTGTAGACAATCTCAAGCTCACGTCGCGTATCAGCAAATGCGGCCTTCAAATGCTGCATCTCGGCGTTGCTTTGGCTCGCCTGAGTCCTAGCTTCCGAGGTGTCCGCTTCAGCCTGTGCGAGCTTGATCGTCAAGTCCGTCAATAGCCTGTGCGACTCAGAGGCGCTTTCCCTGGAAGAAGCTGAACGAAGCTGCAGAATCTCTCTCTCTGCAGCTGCTTTCTGCTCCTGAGCCACATGGCACGCGTGCTGAGCAGCACTCAGATCAGCTTCGGCTCGGCGGAGCCTCTCTTCCGTGCTGCCCAGCTGGGACTCGGCTGCTCGCAAGTCTGCTGTCGCTTTTTCGGCGGTTGCTTCGAAGCCGTCTGCTCTCACCCTAGCAGCCTCCACTGCCTTGGCTGTGCGCAGCGACTGAAGCTTAGAGTCTAGAGATCTGCAGTTTGCAGTTTTTTCTGTGGCCTTTCAGCAAGGCTGTGGCTAGCTGCTTCATCTGCTGCCGCAAGGGCTTGTGAACGCCGGGCTGCAAGGGCCTGTCTTTGACCAGATTCTCCCATGCTATGCCTTGGCCCTGCATGATTGTACATGCGCACAGACATGCCCAGCGCCTCGGCTGCATCTTTGGCAGCTTGTGATGATTCCAGCTCACCTTGCAAAGAGCAACGCGCAAGAGCAAAGCACATGCAGGAACTTGCTAAATGCACACGTACTTGAAATGCGTGAGACGCAAATGGAGTGTCTCAGCACGCCGCAGTGCAACTTCTGGAGTTCCTTGTCCTGGCATCTGGGATTAGCCGATGCTATGTTCCGAATGTTTTACGGACCTGGCAGAGGAGGGCTTTCTGCTCCGCAAGCGACTCGCGTGCACAGGCTTTGGTGTCTTCAAGCGCAGCTGACCACACCTGCAGCACGGATCTGCCTTCTGAGAATGCTTGCCGAGAGTTATTGGTTCCAAGAAACGCCAAACACCCAGCTGATCAGCAGGCGCGACTGCACCTGCCACAAGTTAAGCGTAGGGAAATCCAAGTGGCTTCTTTCCTTCTGTGACCTGCGCCAAGTCCGGCCTCCTGCCAAGATCGTAATGCTGCACCACAGCGTTCTTGTCGCTGCGCGCGGAGCCTCTGGCAACATCCGCAAACTGTTACTATCCGTGGACACCGTTTGCCCCGCCTCAACACAGTTTCCCGTTCAGTTCTCAATGTGGTTGTGACTTGGTCCATCCAGGCCTGACAATTTGCTAGCAATGGTTCTGCAACAGCTATCAGATTGTCAGAGCGTGCCCTCAAAGACCACACCCCACGAAAGGCAGACGACTCCATCTTTTTCCGGGCAGTTTCGGTGTTGAAATTTATGCCTATTACAGACGGCTCATGGCATGCGCTCAGCTGACCATAGGCTCTTTAAGGAGTCTCAACACAGCCTGAACTATAATTCCACACTTGCACAAGTGGCAATTGTTCACTTGGTCCAAGTTCTTGCATCCGGTACCCGCTCCATACTTGCTTGTGTGCGCGTCTGCACATTCTACCAAGACAACGCTAATTAGGTCAAGGAAGCTTTCACCCGCAGCAGCAGTGATATGCGGTGATGATGCAACTGCAAATGCCTATGCTGCCAGCAGTACTACGTACTGCAAACTGTATAGCAACACGCATTTAATGTTTTTGAGGCCCTTCTTATGTTTGCCGCGAATTGAACGGAATGTTTGTTTTTGCAGTTGTTTTCACTGCTCTTATGGCTCTTATGGTTGCGGCAAAATCAGCCGATGCTGGACGCATGCAGCGATCCAACTTGACCTGCTGCCTGCAAAAAGAAAAATGATCCATTCGCTTCCCCTTCACCTCATCCTCGACGCAAGTGGATTATAGAGACACGCTATAGCACATTATGCCATCTTGCAAGCTACATGCGTGCCTTGCCCTCTTGGTGGCTGTCTTGTTTGCGTCTCTCACTGTAGACCTCCGAAGCATCAATCCGCATCAATCAAAAGACTACACAGCTGACGTCATCGCGTTGACTGCACGGCAACACTTCAGGGCGGCAAATCAAAACTGCTGACGGGATGTGCGGAGGCTTTATACAAAGCTGTTGCTGTTCAGAATATACCATAAAGCTTCTTACTGTAGTAAAGCCAGCATCTGTGGAGACTCATGAACTTTGTCATCCTGCGATGAATGATTTTGCGAAGACTGGACATCTGAAGGGAGAGGGTGTTGTACAATTAAGCCATCCCCTCTCCATTTTTTGTCTCTCAGGCAGTGGTCATACTTTGCCCTTGCCTCCCGCCAGCAATGCAAAACATCTCGCAAGCATTGCTGCCTTGCCTGGAGCTGGTTCATGCTGCATGGATGAATAATGGTCTCAATTCGGCCTCCCTAGTCAGGCGCTGGTCCAAGCGCTCCAAGAGCAGCTCGAGGTGGTCTCAGCAAGTGGTTACCATTGTCTGATGAGCCACAAATGACTGCAAATTGGCAGCATGCAGATTGATCACTTGCCTCACGGACCATCTCTAAGTGCCGCACCTGCTTTTGCTGGATACTTTTCTGATCGGTCATCCGGGGCACGAGAATCATCTGCAAGTAGCTCCTCGAGCATCACAACTTTCGTGGACGGGCTGTCACGTGCGGGGCTATATGGGCTACAGGCAATATTTCCCATATTAATAATCTATGGACATGGGCCCTTATTAGAGAATATAAGAACATATTTGGGACTATACTAAAACTACAAGAAGGATCCCTGTGTCCACACTTCCCAGTTAAGGGACCCTTAATAAGGCTGACGCTGACAGTAGCTCATATTTTCACACGCTTGTCCTGGTCAGATCCAGGGCGTTGGTGTCCTAACAAGGTTGATGTCTGCTCAGTGTGGGTAGACAAGCCCAAGGGACTTCTTCAGCAGGCTGTCCTTGCACTTCCCTTCGCTTGGGCGACTTCTGCTTGGCTTGCCACTGCCACTGCGCGGCTTCCGCACTTTCGCCATAAAGCGCTGGACCTGGAGTTCGGGGAGTGGCATTCAATCAGGCCTTTGGAGTAGCATGCGAAAGGCCCGCGCGCTCAGATCTGCAAGTGTCTACCAGCCTGAGAAGCTGGCGCATTTGCATTTCGCTCTTTCAAGTCTTTGCACGAGGCCCCAACCGCGTTGCTGTCTCGTTCGCACGCGCAGCCGTGTAAGCTTGCACTCGGTCCAAGGACTGTGCAAGGGTTTGAAGCTTAATATGCCGTGCATCAAAGAAACAGCCTTCACTAGGCGTGATGCCTGCAACACCTGGTCCCAGTTCGCCAGGATGTCAGCTATCTCGGCCCGTAGACGCAGTAATCAAGAAGCTCTATTGATTCTGAGAGGGCGGCGGTCCCCCAAACGAAACCATGATGAACTCTGCAGGGCCGGGCTCCAGGTGTAAGTCCCGTCCCAGCTTCTGCTTTGGGCCTTGGAGACAGATGACTCCCCCCTCCTCGCTTCATTCGTGCACCAAGCTTCCGACATTTTGCTGCAGGCGGCGCGCAGACTGAAACTATCCAAACTCTTCCGCCATAGCCATTAGCTTAATGTAGGCGAGTGCTGTGCTGTGTTGCCACATGTGTCACATGTTTCACACTGGCACCTTCCTCAAACATCCTGCCATAAGCTCATAATCTTCCTGGCGCTGGACGGGACAAAAGGGAGGATGTACAGCAGCGGACAACGCATGCAGTTTACCTGGAGTATGCAAGCTTGCCTTTCTCAAAGCTCACAGAGCAACCCGCCTCTGGGCCAATCAATGCAGGTGATCCACCTCCACGGCAGTTTGTGGCCTGGCAGCATCTGTGAACTGGCCTCTGAGTGCTGGCAAGCGGCTGCGAGCAATTTTCGTACTGAAAGCAGGCTATCTCGACAACGCAAAACGAAGGCTCTTGATCACCGACAGATCTGATAGTCTGGTCCTGGAGGGGCTCAGCGACTGCGCACGGCAAAGTGAAGCCCTGATAGTTCCTGAGCCGCTGCTGACCGCTGCTGATGATCGCAAGCTCTGAGCAATTGTGCTCTACAATCTCTACACGTTCGTAAGTCGCAATGCAGTTGCGACCCCCCACTGTGTGCAGCCGTGCCCATCCCTTATTAGGAGCCTGGACTACCTACAAAAGCCTCGACAAAGTTGCTAACAGGCATAAGAATGTGCTTGGAGAAACCTGTCTGAACATCATCCACGTCGCGTGAAGGCTGCACAGTAAGATTGAATGGCCTGCGTCTATGCTCTAATCTGAGGCTCACACTCCGCCAGGCATAGTGCCTTGGAACTGCCAGCCTCGCCAGAAACACAAACTCAGCATGCCCAACTCCTTTGCGTTTGTTGCAGGCCCAACCGAATGGCTTCGAAGTCTGATTCAATCTGGCAGCTGTTCGCTTGAATCGAAGGAGCTACGGGAGCCACTCGAGGATCAAGCTGCCAGGCCTTAGAAACAGGATCACGCACACACACACGCGCGCATGGCATACCGTCAACGACAATTGCGGGATCTCGAATGTGCTTCACTTGACGGTGAACTGCAGCATATCTTGAGGCAAGAGCTGGGTCGCCTGCAGGCAGTTGCTGCACCTTTGCTACGCGCAAACTTCTAAGTGGTTGACTGGCGCCATCCTGCGCCAATCTTCCGCGAAACAATGCGAAAAATACATGGCCGCTGCCTGGTTCTTGATGTCATCCGGGTATCCAGCACCTGCATGGAAGAGTGTCAGAGAGGGTAAAGAGCCCGGTGATATGCCGACTTTGTCTTACAGGGTTCAAGAACTGAACTGCTAATGCCGTTGTTGCTGCCATCTCATCCACTGCACGTGCTTGTCCTCAACGCGGCATGCGTTGATAGGCAGCTGGCACATGCTAGCAATGTAACTAAACAGATGTCAGTTAGGCAGGTGACTTTGCCACCTTCTGAACCACCAAACTGAGCTAATTCGACCACGGCAAATGTCTGCTGTGGTTGGAAAACTTGTGAAGCTGCCAACAGCTGGCGTCGCGCTGCTGCAGCTCTGAAGCATGAGATGCATGTTGCCAGCAAAAGCCCTGTGTCTGGGCTACTTGTGGCTGGCCTCATTGGATCCTTCACCCCTCGATCATGCAGCCCTCCCTGCTTTCTTTGCACTCAGGGCTTTCTTCGGTACCGGCTGAACGGCGGACGCCACCTTATGTGAGCGGCAGGCATCTCGGCAAATCAGGCCAGCTGTCTTGAGCGGATCCTTGTTCTCTGAGGATCTTGCGTCGTTCGCCTGCTGGAGAAAAGCCGCAGGCTGTTCAATCCCTCAGGAGGCAGGACGGCTGCATCTTTAGCTTTAGGAGCTTACCATGCTGCAATCCGTCTCTAAATCAAAGGCACCACGAGCATGGTAGTGCCCTCGTGCAGCAAAACTCCCAGCCACAGTGGCATTCCTGTGATCAGCGTCAAGCTGCTCCTGGCTGAGAAGAATCAACTCACTTCCTGGATCAGCTTTGAAGCTCGCTTTCGCTTAAGCTTGCCAAGGGGGCGCTCCCAAGATCGATGCCATGGCGAGGCCTTTTGTTTGCACGAAGGCAGCTACATGCGCCTACCGCAAGACTCGGGT